GCTCCAAGGCCAGCCCAGCCCGGGACACTGCAGCATCCAGGGCCGTTCCTTCTGCCCAGCCCAACACACCACATTTCCAGTGGCAAGGCTCCAGCGGCCCAGTTTGGAACCACCTGCCAGGGAGTGAGAGATCTGCCAGAAACGGCAACAGGGAAACCGAACCATCCACCTGGAATGGCTGGAATGGCAAAAGGCACCGAGTCAGAGCAAGGGAGAGGGCCAGAGCCCTTCTCCTAAGGGTTTCATTTGAATTCAAGATCCTCATAAAACAGAGCAAAAAACACGGAGAACGTGGAGTTGTGTCAAGTTTCCCATGCAAATTTTTTTTCAAGTGCTTGCAGAGGAGACACAATTGCAGGTTCTCTCACTTCAGCAAACAATTAAAACAACAAAATACCCTTTTTATGTTAACTGGCATCAGTGTCCTTTCTCCCAGCACAGAGGGGCTCTCACATGTTTTGGATTCCCACAGAATCTCCTCACAAGAGACTCGACAGGCTCACAGGACAGCTGTCCCCAGCTCCCTGCACTGCACACAGGACACAGCCAAGCCAGCATCACTGCAGGCACCAAAGTGGGATCGCATTGTAAGGCTCCAGATTTTCCAGAACATTCCAAGAGTGAAAAGAGAGCCATGTTGTGAATCTGAAATAGCCATGAAACTTGGAAAAAGGATTTTGGTGAGGTGAAAATTGGAGAAAACTTCTGCAGAGACCCATGGGGGAGGAATGGGGGCGATGCGAAGTCCTTGACTCCAGCTGGCAGCGCTCTAAGGGTGTCATCATCTTTTAAGATCCAAAGAGCAAGCTGACTGCAAGTTTTAATGTCTTTAACCAAAAAATCCCTGGCCCTGCTAGGTATGATTTCCTTCTGGCACAGTTTTTCACAGTTGACACACGGCTTATCTCTGAGCTTGAACAGAAGAACAATACATAGGGATGAGAGGAAAGTATGCGCGGCCTTTTCCATGCCGTGAAAGCCACAAAAAACCACCCAAAAAAACCTTTAAAAAATCTCTCCACGATACCCACGGGAAGAAGAAAAATCCAGGTGTTGAAGCCGAACACAGCATCAGCTATTCAGTTTTTGAGAGGATAATATTTTAGCACAGAAACCAAGACCTGGGCTTGCTGACACTGATGCCAGTACGTGAACGCTGTTGATTTTAGGAGATCAGGTAGTTTGGTGACAGAAGAAGTGGACAGTCACTGCACTGGAGAAGGTGGTCAGTGCTTGGGTGGGGGCTGCAGTTGGAGACAAATTGGTAATTACTGATATTAGATCATCGTTAAAATCCACCTCAGAGGCTCAGACCTGGCAGAGCAGAGCCCCAAGGAAGGGATGGGAGCCGCAGGGCTGCACTCTGGTACACCTGTCACAGTACCTCAGCAGCTCGACATTGGATGAAACACTTACTTTTCTCAAGACACAAACCTTGTCTTTTAAATGTATGCTGTACTTGAGATTCTCTCTCTATAAATGGAACAGCACCTGGAATGTCTTTGCTTCCTTTCCCCAGTGCCAAGCACTGCGCCAAGGCTCAGCACTTTGTAGAGCAGACATTTTGCCTCACAGGGAAGACAACTGTCCCTATCAAAACAGTTTAATTCAGGTAAATAAAATTCTGGAAGGCTTCATATGGACTTTTGATGGGTAATTCCTGCCCAGAAGGCCCACAAGGGAAGTTCCAGCTGAGGGAGAGGAAGCCTTCAGTGACTTCCCTACAGCAGCACTAACTGGAGTGCCCAGCCTCAGGCTGCTCCCAGCAGCTCTCCATCCCCAGGACACCTTGCAGCGCCCCGTATTCCTGATCAGTAACAAACCTTCTGCATATGGAATCATGGAATCACAGGACGGTTTGGGTTGGAAGGCCCATGCCATTCCGCTGACACGGCAGGGACACCTTCCACTATCCCAGGCTGCTTCAAACCCCGTTGAACCTGGTCTTGGACACCTCCAGGGATCCAGGGGCAGCCACAGCCTCCCTGGGCAACAGAGAAATCCAAACAAAACTCTACATTTCCTGCACCCCTCAAAATCAGGCACACCCCTGGTTCCATCCAGTCTCCCCTGGGGTAACTGCTGGGGACTGTCCCCACAGCAGGACAGCGGGATCCCACAGGCAGAGCTGCTCATTAGAGCCCTTTTTCCAGGCAGGGCTCCGATCCCAGCTCTGTCCTGGCTGGCGCAGTGCAAACCCGCCAGACACATGAATAATTCAGCTGCAGCAGGGACTGCCTGTGCCATCGCCACAGTAATAAACGCAGCGACGCCCTCGCTGCAGCAGATTGTGTATAAGAATTCCAAATCTCTTTAGAAGATTAGATTTTTGTGGCGGTACTGGGGGAACACCGATTAATGAACACGCCGGGAAGTCGCACGGGAGGCTGGGGAGCTCCCTGCACGTGGAACCTCCCCACTGCCCGAGCCCTGACAGCCCCGGGGAAAGGCAGCAAGGGATGCTCTCCTGCGATGCCCAGGCACCTGGAGGCGAGGTTAAAGCACACAGGTAACACTCCCTGGCCGTCACTGGGCTCTCCCTTCTCTGCCCCACTCCGGCTCCCAAGGGGAGCCCAGCTGCTCCTGCTGGCTTTGGGCAGCACAGACACTGACTGTCCTCAGCAGTAACTGCACATCAGGACAGCACAGTGAGGCATGACTTATCCCTATCAAGGGAGCAGAACTTGCTAAGAAACAACTCCCAGTGATTAGTTTCCTCTTCACTTTCTTGATTCACATTTGCCAAATAGCGACACACACACTGGCTAACACTTCAAATAGTTCAGTTAATGCCTGGACCAAAAGTACTTCAGTAGCAGGGGAGTGAAAGTGAAATATGTTTAAAATAAACCCTGGATGCTTTGCTGTGCAGAAGGCACTCAGAGCAGCAGCAGCGTGAGGGTGACCTTGCCCAGCACACCCAGGACTCCCAGCACTGGCAGACTCTGTTACCCTGCCAGCGGCTCTTCCAGATAATCTCCTTTACCCAACACAGGATAGAGAGCATTACTGGGGTGTTCCTATGGCTTGTGGTTTTATCCTTTTGTCGGTTATCCCATGTGCGTTCAGAGAAGGGAATGGAGCGCCAGGAGGGCTGAGGGAGCTGGGAAGGGGCTCAGCCTGGAGAAAGGAGGCTCAGGGGGACCTTGTGGCTCTGCACAGCTCCTGACAGGGGGTGCAGAGAGACCCGTGGTGCTCCTGCTGCAGGCCCCGTATCCTGCAGCATCCCAAGCAGCCCCAGCACAGCTGACAGCCAGTACCTGGGGCTGGAAACCCGAACCCAACCCAGAGCCGCTGCCAGCCTGCAGCCAGTGCTGTTCCAGGACACTGCGCTTTGCAGAGGATGCTGCGCACAAAGAGGAGCTGGAGCAGGCACTAACAGGATGCCCAGTAAGATGCTGTGACTCACAGTGGCAGGCTTGGAGGGACACAGCCCAGCTTCCACCAGCATGGCCACAGCTGTCACTCACTCTCAGCACAACAGGCTGCCTCTGTCCTCCAAGCCCTGCACTGGAAAACACTGGAGAGGCAAAAACTCCAACCAAAACCTGAGCACACACCCCACACTCACACTGCACGCTGAAGCGGCACCTCTGCCTCTGTCCCCACTGTGCAGTGCCACCTCCTGTCACTGTGGCCTGTCCAGACACCCCTGCTGGCCTCACCCCAAGCACCTTCCCGAGGGCCTGCCTGGCTTCCTGCCTGGTTTGAGTCGTGCCGCCTGCTCCACCAGCTGCTGGAGAAAGGCAGGTGCCCAGCAGGCAGGGGCACTGCAGGGCTGCAGGCAGTGCCCACTGCCAGCATGCTGCCCTGCCCTCCACGGCTGCACCCAGCCTGGCTCCCCTGTGCCACGGACAGCCCAGGGCACGGCTCACACACGCACCAATTCAAACCAAACCGAAACGCATCCAGGCATTTGAATTCCTGTTACAAACTGAGACAAAAACTCACCGAATCCCACTTTTCCTGGTTTTTTCTCATCACATATAATTAGAGACGTGGCAGTTGGTGCCAGCTCAGGCTGCTCTGCAGAGCTGTCTCTCAGCCCCACACACTTGGCTGCTGCTGCTCCTCCTGCGCTGGGAATGAGGCACTGCAGCCGCTGGAACGGGACAGGGAGGACGGGGCTGAGCAGGAGGAGTTACAGAGAGGCAGCAGAGCAGACCCTGGTACAGCTGAGGGGCTGAAGGGACCCTCAGGGAAGTGTTTTACCCCAGAGAGGAAGCGTGGGGAGGCTGATCCCTGCCCAGAGCCTCGGATCACCTGGGGCCTCCCGGGCTACGAATAAAGGAGATCTTTTCCAAGGGTGAGAGGGAGCTCCTGGGCTCCTGCACGGGCTGTAAGGAAGGAGAGCAGGGGATGGAGAGTGCAGGCAGAGGGAAGCCTTGGTGCCCACTGAGCCAACTGCCTCCCAGGGCTGGGCATCCTGACCACGGGACAGGGGGACAGGGACACGGCCAGGGAGAGCCCAGCGCCTCTGCTGCCCCTCTGGGGACCCTGACCATGGGACAGGGGGACAGGGACATGGCCAGGGAGAGCCCAGCGCCTCTGCTGCCCCTCTGGGGACCCTGACCATGGGACAGGGGGACAGGGACATGGCCAGGGAGAGCCCAGCGCCTCTGCTGCCCCTCTGGGGACCCTGATCACGGGACAGGGGGACAGGGACATGGCCAGGGAGAGCCCAGCGCCTCTGCTGCCCCTCTGGGGACCCTGACCACGGGACAGGGGGACAGGGACGTGTCCACGGCCAGGGAGAGCCCAGCGCCTCTGCTGCCCCTCTGGGGACCCTGACCATGGGACAGGGGGACAGGGGGACAGGGGGACGGGGACGTGGCCATGGCCAGGGAGAGCCCAGCACCTCCTGCTGCCCCTCTGGAGCCTCAGCACCTCAGAGGGGCACGAGCAGCCCCAGGACCCTGCAGGTACAGCCCAGGCTCCACACAAGCACACCTGATCACTGACAGGCAGTAACACAACTAAAACACTCCCACGTTTGACTTGAAAACATTCTATTTAATTTATACAAATAACTACTAAATAGAAAAAGTAGATTAAAACAAAATAGTTATTTTTCTGGCAGAGTTTAAATGCATATTATATAGCTTAGAAGAAATAAAATGCATTTTCCCCACAGCATTCATGACCTAATATTCTAGTTAACTCCTCCATTGCCTTCCTTTCCCAGATCAGTAAGATGCCAGACGCAAGGTCCTGTGGGAAATGGCTATATATACGTCCCATATTCCAACTGAAAATATGGTACAGACCACACACCTACAAATGTGAAGCACTTAAAATGTGACTATCGAGTTGTAATATGATAATACAGAAAACAATTCATGTTTCAGGTTATATTGTGTTACAAAAACGTCTGTGTAAGAAATCATGAAAGAGGCCACATAAAAATAAGGTTTAACTTTATGCACTTATTTTACAGTTTAAAAAACTGGCAAGTGCACTAGTAATAAATAATTTGCAAGTTTTGAATAAACAAGAAATTCCTAATGTTCAGCATTATTGTAAACATCAGTACACATGTAAAATGCAGCTAAAGTCTGACAGTTACGTTTTCAGTTTACCGAATTCTTTTCCTATTACTCAGGCATAGATCGATGCAGGATACAGCCAATCATATTTTTGGCAAGTCATGTCGTTAAAATTAACAGTGACAGTGCAAGTAAGGAATGCAAAGAATTCCTAGTGCAATAAAGAAGAGAAGCACAGGCAATATTGCTGATTAAAATTTACCACTTCCATGTGTTCACCTTGGGAGTGATTAGGAGAATTAAAATAAAATATTAAAAATAAAAATCAAAAAAGAAAAGGGAAAAAAAAGGAAACAAAAAAAAAGAAAAGAAACAAGAAGAAAGCTGTTCAAAGCCATTGTTTAATGCCCTGATCTTGTCTTAGGATTTCTCTGTCTTCCTTCAGGCCACCAGCTCAGGCACAGCCCGTGCGGCTGAGTCCCAGCGCCGCCCCGGGCAGTGCGGGGTGCCAGCTGTCCCCAAGGCAAGGTGTCCCGGGCAGCGCCGGGTCCCAGCTGTCCCCAAGCCCACCTGGCCCGGGCAGTGCGGGGTCCCAGCTGTCCCCAGGCTCCCGCTCCAGCAGCACGGGGACCAGGCTGGCACTGCCCGGGCGGAGCCCTCGGGGCAGCCAGGCGCCTTCCTGCCGGGACAGCACCGCCAGGAGAGGGTCAACAGTCAGCTTTCAGTTTGTCTAAGGAATTGTCAATTTTGGTCAAAGTCTTTTTGATGCGCAGGGCTGTCAGTCTGGCCGAGGGGTTCTGGTACCAGCACTCCTTCATCAGCTTGGCAAGGGACGTCAACGTCTGGGGAGGAACAAAACCACACAGCACAGGGGTCACTCACAAATAACGAGCCAAGGGAGCACTGGCTGGGGCCAGGCACCCACACAGAGAGGCTTTACTGCCTAATGAACACTCCATTTTCAGGGCTTCCCACTAGTTATCAAATACAGAGCTTACATGCTTTGAAAAGCTCTGAAGTCTGATAACTTGACTAAACCAAGAGCACAGCTGGCCCATGGGCTGACTGGAGTGACCAACTAGCGCAACTTTAGACTATAGTGTTGGAGTTTTTTCTAATTGAGCAAACACTACCCAGAATTTCTCTTCAATGAAACCAACTCCTGCAGGCCCATGAAGGAAGCTGAGAAGGTACAGAAGTTCTGACTGTGATTTCATCATGCCCAGCAAGATTTAACTGGCTGGGCTCCCAGCACAGGGCACAGCTCCACACCCAAACCTCACAGATGGGCACTCTGCCGGCCCAACCCTACAGGTTTCAAACTGACTTCCACAGCTCCAAGGGCAGCCTGGAGAGGCCAGACTGATACTGATGAAGAAAAATTAACCTGAGCATCAGTCTTTCAAAAAGAACAGCAGCCCCTATCTTGTAGGCAGGAAAGGCCAGCATTCTGTTGTGTGTGCTTGTAAGCCACAGCAAGCCCTGGACCAGCTTCTCTCCCCTTCACCTCCCTCGGAGGGAGAACAGCCACTGGGAAAAGCAGTGTAAGGGTTTTTGTAAACCGTGCTCCTAAAAGGCCAGTCTGTGGGTGGCTCAGACCTGGCAGCTGTCAGTTTGCTCAGTGCTCCCCAAGCCAGGCCAGCACATCCCACCCTGCCCAGGTGACACTGCTGACGAGGCCATCGAGATCCTCCCCAGGCAGTGACAGCTGGGAAAGCTTCCCTGGCAATGACACAGAGACCAGCACACACTGACCGGGTCTGAGAACCATCTGTTGGGAATGTTGGGCCTCTGCTGATCCACACAGACCACTTTCCTCATGTCTTCAAAACTGGGGTCGTTCGGAACCAAGTCATAAAAGGGTGGCTTGTAGTCTTCCACGATTCCTGGTGAGACACAAACGGACATCACTCAACGACTGTGACAGTGAACAGCACTTCTGCAGGGACAGAGGGAACACAAAACCCACGCAAGAGGCACAAAAATCCTTTAGAACTCAACCCTACAGTGTCATGCAGCCTCTGAACAACAGAACAGCCCTCACTGCCCCAGGAACAGCTTTTCCTACTCAAAATGTTAATTAATTGCCTCATATTGCAAGTCCACAAAGTATGGGCTATACCCACTTTGCAGATACTGGAGCTGAAAGGAGGAGAAGGAAATCCCTTGCCAAAAGGCCATGCATGTAGCTTTCCTGCCTACCAAAAACTGGGATTCCTACAGATGGAAAAATGTCATGTCTGCACTGGGGTTTCTAACAGGCTCAACACACACTTTGGTGCTTCTGTAATTCCTGAAAGAGTCCAATAAGCATCCACAGACCCTCAAGTTGGTGCTTCAAACCATTTCATTCCCTGCTATGAAAACAGTAAAATCCTAGGGTAACGGGCACCACATGCCATCACAAAACCAAACACCCAAGAGCCTGTGGCAGTCAGGAGTTCAGTACATCTTCATAAAATCACTAACTGGTTTGGGTTGGAGGGACTCCCCAGCCCATCTCCTTCCACCCCTAGCCATGGGCAGGGACACCTTCCACGGTCCCAGGCTGCTCCAAGCCCCATCCAGCCTGGTCTCAAACCAACACCCTGGCCGTGTCCTGGGCTTTGGCACTGAAACCAGAGCTGTGTGTGCTGCCCCAGCCCGTCACCCACGCACAGAACGCTGCCAGGCTGAGCCCCTCTGCCTGCTCCCCAGGACACTCGTGCACATCCCTGATTCCTCACTGCACCGGGCTCACCAACCCTCCGCAGGGAGCCCAGCCCTCTCGGGAAGCCCATTTACAAACTGGTGTTCAAAGACAGGCATCTGGGTCAGCAGTGTGGAAAAAGCCGGAGATAATGAGGCCCTCTGTGTCCAGCAGGAACATCAAATAGCTGCTGCTGACAAATTTCACAGACTGAAACCTGCTGTCCCACAGCCAGACATGAAATCCAGAAGAATCTCCGCTGCTTTGGATACCCTGAAACTGAAAAGAGGTTCTCAATCTTTCCTACAGCAGTTGAATTTTAATTTTCCTGTTCTATTTGAGATGAAGATCAAAGTCCCATAGATATTCCTGTGCATACTCTGCAAAAGTCTGTAAAAGGGTGTAAAAGGGAAACAGGAGATTACAAGTGCCTTGGAGAAGAGTGGGGCAATTTTGAGACCTGGCTACCCCAGCAAGTTCCCAGCCTGCAGTTTGCCTGTGCTATTCTGACAGGGACCCAGGACAAGTGACATGCGCTGCGTAAAGCAGCATCACCCACCCTCCTGCTCGGAGCACTTCCCAACTGCAGCTACCAAACATCACCTGCTGGCCTGAATTCCCATCTTAGGAACGCACTGTACTGTGAGACCTCATGAACAGCCCCCCCTGCGTGTCCTTGCTGCCACACCTGTCCTGCAGGTGAGGCCAGGGCCTGGCAGAGACCAACAGCCAAATCCGGCCGTCCCAGAGCTCTGCACACACTCCCAGGGCACGAGGATATCACGGATGAACTTTCTCTCTTCTGGCTCTCATTCACCATTGTCATGTGCTCTTTCCCAAGCCCAGGGCACACAGCTGGCTGCTGCACAGACACGCGGCGCTGAGGACAAAGGGAGCAGGCTGGCCTTTGCTCCAGTGCTGCCCGTGGAGTCCCTGAGCCCTGTCCAGCCCGGCGGGAGCGCTCGGCGGGGCTGGGGCCACTCAACCTCTGTCCCACAGTGCGTCCCTGCCCCATGACACGCTGCCCTGGCTGCTGACAGGGACACCGGGCTGCCCAGCACAGCCCGCAGCCTGGGCACAGCACAGCCCACAGCCCGGGCACAGCACAGCTCACAGCCTGGGCACAGCACAGCCCGCAGCCTGGGCACAGCACAGCCCGCAGCCTGGGCACAGCACAGCCCACAGCCTGGGCACAGCACAGCCCACAGCCTGGGCACAGCCCACAGCCTGGGCACAGCCCACAGCCTGGACACAGCCCACAGCCCACAGCCTGGGCACAGCCCACAGCCTGGGCACAGCCCACAGCCCACAGCCTGGGCACAGCCCACAGCCTGGGCACAGCACAGCCCGCAGCCTGGGCACAGCACAGCCCGCAGCCTGGGCACAGCCCACAGCCTGGGCACAGCCCACAGCCCGGGCACAGCCCACAGCCCACAGCCTGGGCACTCTGCACAGCCCACAGCCCGGGCACAGCACAGCCCACAGCCTGGGCACAGCCCACAGCCCGGGCACAGCCCACAGCCTGGGCACAGCCCGCAGCCTGGGCACAGCCCACAGCCCACAGCCTGGGCACAGCCCGCAGCCTGGGCACAGCCCACAGCCTAGGCACAGCACAGCCCACAGCCTGGGCACAGCCCACAGCCCACAGCCTGGGCACAGCACAGCCCACAGCCTGGGCACAGCCCACAGCCTGGGCACAGCACAGCCCACAGCCTGGGCACAGCCCACAGCCCGGGCACAGCCCACAGCCTGGGCACAGCCCACAGCCTGGGCACAGCCCACAGCCCACAGCCTGGGCACAGCCCACAGCCTGGGCACAGCCCGCAGCCTGGGCACAGCACAGCCCACAGCCTAGGCACAGCACAGCCCACAGCCTGGGCACAGCCCACAGCCCACAGCCTGGGCACAGCCCACAGCCCACAGCCTGGGCACAGCCCACAGTCCACAGCCTGGGCACAGCCCACAGCCTGGGCACAGCCCGCAGCCTGGGCACAGCCCACAGCCTGGGCACAGCACAGCCCACAGCCTGGGCACAGCCCACAGCCTGGGCATTCTGCACAGCCCACAGCCTGGGCACAGCCCACAGCCTGGGCACAGCCCGCAGCCTGGGCACAGCCCACAGCCTGGGCACAGCACAGCCCACAGCCTGGGCACAGCACAGCCCACAGCCTGGGCACAGCCCGCAGCCTGGGCACAGCCCACAGCCTGGGCACAGCACAGCCCACAGCCTGGGCACAGCCCACAGCCTGGGCATTCTGCACAGCCCACAGCCTGGGCACAGCCCACAGCCTGGGCACAGCCCGCAGCCTGGGCACAGCCCACAGCCTGGGCACAGCACAGCCCACAGCCTGGGCACAGCCCACAGTCCACAGCCTGGGCACAGCCCGCAGCCTGGGCACAGCACAGCCCACAGCCTGGGCACAGCCCACAGCCCGGGCACAGCCCGCAGCCCGGGCACAGCCCACAGCCCGGGCACAGCCCACAGCCCGGGCACAGCCCACAGCCTGGGCACAGCCCACAGCCCGGGCACAGCACAGCCCACAGCCCGGGCACAGCCCACAGCCTGGGCACAGCACAGCCCGCAGCCTGGGCACAGCCCGCAGCCTGGGCACAGCACAGCCCGCAGCCTGGGCACAGCCCGCAGCCTGGGCACAGCACAGCCCACAGCCTGGGCACAGCCCACAGCCTGGGCACAGCCCACAGCCCGGGCACAGCACAGCCCACAGCCTGGGCACAGCCCACAGCCCGGGCACAGCCCACAGCCTGGGCACAGCCCGCAGCCCGGGCACAGCCCACAGCCTGGGCACAGCCCACAGCCTGGGCACAGCCCACAGCCCGGGCACAGCCCACAGCCTGGGCACAGCACAGCCCGCAGCCTGGGCACAGCCCACAGCCCGGGCACAGCCCACAGCCCGGGCACAGCCCACAGCCTGGGCACAGCACAGCCCGCAGCCTGGGCACAGCCCACAGCCCGGGCACAGCCCACAGCCTGGGCACAGCCCGCAGCCCGGGCACAGCCCACAGCCTGGGCACAGCCCACAGCCCGGGCACAGCCCACAGCCCGGGCACAGCCCACAGCCTGGGCACAGCACAGCCCGCAGCCTGGGCACAGCCCACAGCCCGGGCACAGCCCGCAGCCCGGGCACAGCCTGGAGGTGACTGCTGTCACTCCCAGCACACCCTCCTGCTCTGCTGGGGCCGCTGCCTTTCTGCTCTCCAATCACCCACAACTCACACGTACTGCAGTGGCTTCCTACCTCCACTCCTTGTTACTTCATAGACTCCCAGAACGGTCTGAGAGGGAAGGAACCTTACAGCCCATCCCATCCTGCCCTGCCATGGGCAGGGACACCTTCCACTGTCTCAGATGCTCCCAGCCCTGTCCAGCCTGGCCTTGGGCACTGCCAGGGATCCAGGGGCAGCCACAGCTGCTCTGGGAATTCCCAATTCCCAATGTCCCATCCATGCCTGCCCTCTGGCAGTGGGAGCCATTCCCTGGCTCCTGTCCCTCCATCCCTTGTCCCCAGTCCCTCTGCAGCTCTCCTGGAGCCCCTTCAGGCCCTGCCAGGGGCTCTGAGCTCTGCCTGGAGCCTTCCCTTCTCCAGGGGAACATTCCCAGCTCTCCCAGCCTGGCTGCAGAGCACAGGGGCTCCAGCCCTGGGACATGTCCATGGCCCTGAGCTGACTTTAAGCCCAGCTTGTCCTGTGCATGCACAAATCTCACTGCTGAACCCAACACAAAGCACAGCAGCAGCTCCAGCCTCACACAGGGAACAAGGACCACACACCAGGGTTCCTGCGAGCAGGAGGAACACCTCTGAGCCTCTGGTGTCACTGTGGAACAGGAGCACAGCCCTGGGAACGACCATGACAACTGCCAAGGATGTGAGCTGTGAGCACCAGGCACCAGGTGAGTGCTGAACCAAGGGAGCACATTCCAAGAGCAGGGGACACCTCCAGGGAACCAGCGCTGCTCCATTTGAAGAGAGGCAAACTCAGCTTTGGGGACTGAAATCACATTCTGAGTACAGAGAAAATGCTGGCTGGCTCCTGCTGCAGCACACAGACAACACACAAGTACTTCTACGTGCCAAAGGAGCTTCCTATCACATTTTCCTCCTCATACTAAACAAGAAAATACCAAGAACCACCGTGTCACCTGGAAGATCATTGGGTAAGTTTTTAAAAATAAAAATAAAAAATAAATTAGAATAAATAAATAAGAATTAAGAACTACAGGACTCAGTAGTCATGTTAGAACAACTTCAAGGTCTCTGTGAGCTGAAGCACTAAATCAGGCTGAGTCACTGGAGGCTGTGCCCGAGCCCAGGAGAGCACAGGGAGCTGATGAGTGCCCCTGGCCCCCCAAGACACCACCCTGCCTTGCTCCTGCAGGCTCCCTCCCAATGCCAAAGTCTCCCTGCAAAGCAAACGGGGTTATCAGAGTGACCAGCAATGATTCCCACACAGCCCAACACACAGGGAAGATGTTTACTCCATCCCAACCAGTGCAAGGGCATGGAATTACTTACAGCAACAGCCAGGAGTACAGAGCAACTGGTTCTGTGCAATTAGTGTCACCAGCACCTGAAACTTCAGCTGTCCTGATGTGACCAATGCAGGCACAGATCTGCATCCCCTCAAGTGTGTCCATGGTGGCACTGAGCTCACTCAGAATCAAATTCCCAGAGCATGCACCTGTAAGCAGGTAGGTCTGCAGTCCCATGAGCTCCATACCAACCTGGTGAAGCTGCCAGCACCATCCACCATTTCTTGTTGAAGAGCAACTCAGGTAAAGCCTCTGCGAGCTGCAGCTGCTGCAGCAGTACCTGTGTCCAGTGCCAGAACTGTACCTGTGCACAGACCAGTGCTACTTTCCAGCTTGGTAAAGCAAAAGCAGTCCTGAATTCTGATACCTTCTGCACTGCCTTTCTTTCTGCCTTTTACAGGGTTTGTCATGAGAAACAGACACCTACAAACATTCACTATGGTTTAATGGCACAAGGAAGGAGGATAGAGACCTTGTGATCTAAAACTTTAACTTAGCTATTTGATATGAATTCTGTCCCAGCAGGCCTTGGAACGAGCAGGGACTCTGTTCTCTGCCTTGACAGGCGTGGCAGCAGGATCCTCACTGCCCCCAGCACAGCCAGAGCCTGCCCAGCGTTTCAGGGGTAAAGCCCCGCGGTGCCCAGCCCGTTCCAGGTGCCCGGCTGTGGTGCCCAGCCCGTTCCAGGTGCCCAGCCCGTTCCAGGTGCCCGGCTGCGGTGCCCAGCCCGTTCCAGGTGCCCAGCCCGTTCCAGGTGCCCGGCTGCGGTGCCCAGCCTGTTCCAGGTGCCCAGCCGCGGTGCCCAGCCCGTTCCAGGTGCCCAGCCCGTTCCAGGTGCCCGGCTGCGGTGCCCAGCCCGTTCCAGGTGCCCAGCCCGTTCCAGGTGCCCGGCTGCGGTGCCCAGCCCGTTCCAGGTGCCCAGCCCGTTCCAGGTGCCCGGCTGCGGTGCCCAGCCCGTTCCAGGTGCCCGGCTGTGCACCAGCCCGTGAGCTCTCCGGAGCCAGGGCAGCCCAGCACTCACACTCACACTCACACTCACCGTTGCTGACCATGCGCCTGGCCACCTCCCAGAGCACCAGCCCGAAGGCCCAGATGTCCACGCGCTTGTAGGAGTCGAAGCAGTCGGCCTGGATGGACTCGTCCAGCACCTCGGGGGCCATGTAGCGCTTGGTGCCCACGCGGGGGTTGTTGCCCACGTCCAGCTGGTTCGTGCTCTGGGAATGCATCACTGCCAGGCCTGCGGGACACCAAAACAAGGCGCTGTCAGGTCCCCTTCAGCTGCAGCAGCGACCCCGTCAGAGGCTTTGGCAAAGAGGAGCCAAGGGCACAACTGTCCAAAGACCAGCGGGGTCAGCTCCAACCCTGCCGGCAAAACCAGCCCCAGGGGCCACAGACAGGCCCGGTATCTCCCAAGGGATTACCATCGAGCATTTTATTGCACTCTTGCAAAACATTGCCATGAAGTGTTTTGCAGCCACTGGATGTCCCCAGCGCTCCGGGCACGGATACGCAGAGGCCAAACAGCTGCTGCTTAGAACAAAACAATTCTACACAGCATTCAAGTTTATTTATAGACCTTTTGGGTAGGTGGATACACCAGAACTGTGGGGAAAGGAGAAGAAAAACACTGCACGAAGGATACACACAAGTTAAAAAAATAAAGCTGGAAAACAAAAACACCGTATTTGCAGCAGCTTGAAAAATAAACATCCTCAAGCAGATCTAAAATGAGTCAGACAAAACCACTCTACCTGGTTTCTACTAATTACTAAACATTTAAGCAGAGAACATTATGTGAGGGACCAAATTACTGTAAATTTGGAAAGGCACAGAGCACTCATTTGGCCACGGTAAACAGAGAGCACTGCAAATTGGGGAGCAGTGGGTGCATGGCAGAGCCGAGCGACAGAGAGGGCGACGCAAACTCTCCCTAATTTCCTCCACAAATCTTCTAAGAATGACATATACTATTTACATTTAACAGGAGTTTATTTTAGGTGAACCTTAAAAGGCTTTTTACCTCAGTCCCACAAAAACTAACCTAGCACCAGACCATTCATTTGCCTTTCTTTCCAAAGAACAGTCTGTTCTTTAAAGTAATAAAAATTTGAAAAACACTTTTCTACAATTCAAATGCACTTCCAAGACATTTCAAGCTGATAAGAATATGCTTATGGCCCCTCTAAAAAGATTACAGAATACTTTGGGTTGGAAGGGATCTTAGAGTTCATCCACTCTCACCCTGCCACGGCAGGGGCACTTTCCACTGTCCCAGGTGCTCCCAGCCCGGCCCTGGGCAGTGCCAGGGATCCAGGGGCAGCCACAGCTGCTCTGTGCCACGGCCTGCCCGCCCCCACTGTAAAACACTTCCTACATTTAATGGAAATAGACCCTCTTTCAGTTTCAAACCATCTCCCCTTGGCCCACCACAACAAGCACTGCCGAAATGTTTGTCCCCGTCCTTCTTAGGGACACCTTATGCACCATCTCGTGACCCTAGACTGAAGAGAAGAAGTCTGCTCCCAGATCCAAGTACTTCTGTCAAATACCGGCACACACACTTCTATGTGCTATTTAAAATTAATATTAGATTATATTATACAGTATGTATGGTTTATAATTTTTCCTTAAAAAAAGCTTGCAACAGCAAACAAAGGTCAGAAACCACATTTCCTGGCCAACTCTGAAAACCATCAGGACCTCGGAGAACACTTTGATAAAAATCCTAAAACTTCACCCAAACTGAGCAAAACGGATGGCAGAGGCTGACAGGTCAAGGTTTGCAGCTGAGGGAGGCCAGTGAGCACCCACACACCCCAGAGCGAGCAGGGGGCCAGGACAGAGCGCTGTGACCATCACAGAGACATCCCTGCTGCGCGGGAGCTGGGCAGCAGAGCCTGCCCAGCCAGGGGCTCTGCAGGCTGGGGGCACTGAGCCCATGGCAGAGCAGCGCCTGCTGGGAGACAGCAGGGCCCAACGGGACCCAGGGTGTGACACGGATCCAGGGGCAGCTCCTGCTGAGAGACACCTGGCCCAACAGGGCCCAGGGTGTGACAGGGCCCGTGGAGCAGCTGCTGCTGTCAGAACCAGCCCCCAAACAGGACCCAGGGTGTGACAGGGCCCGTGGAGCTCCCAGGCCTGCGTGCTGCCCCACAGAGCTGCCCAGCTCAGGCCCAACCAGGCACCTGCACGGCTTTGGCAGGACAAAGGCAGAACGTCCCCAGCTGGCAGACTGGGCAGGAATGAGGGACGTCCATGCTGGGCTCTGTCACACAGCACCCTGAGCCAGCCTCTGCTGCTCCTGCAGCTCCTGACCCTGGGGTGCCACAGCAGCCCCAGCTCCAGATCCTCACAGGAAAGGACCAGAGGGTGGAAACAAGACAGAGCCTCACAGAAGGAAGGCAGGAATGCATGCCAGAAGCAACGAATTCTTTGGTGAGTTTCCCTTACGAAGGAGGAACATAGAAAAAATGTGACAGGTATATATCTGAGGAGGTCACATTTTAAAAAATAGCTATTTTAACCACCACAAGAACTAATCAGGAGGTGTTTACTGCTGTGCTCTCTTAGAAAAATCTCTCAGACCTCTGAAACCTGAAGATAAATAGTGTAATAGATTTCACTATACCAGTGCCATGTCAATCAATGCCTGGACATGCTGCACCTCCTCAGAGTGAACTACAAATTTATTTAAAAGGCAGTCTCTCACACTTTGTATTTTCAGCTTACTGCTGCATTTGTTACTATTCTCACATCAAACTTCCAGAGGCCCAAGTATGTGGCTTTCATGTTTTCCCCATCTGTATCTCAAGTCCCTCAGGCACAAGTGACAGAAACTATGCAGTAGAATTATTATGTAAAAATTCCCATCTCCTGATACACTTTTTGCCCAGGCAACGGCGCCCCAATACAGTTCTACTGCTATCTCCTCCCTTGTCTGCAGAGAAAAGCAAAAAAAAAGTTACTGTCAGACATCCCTCCAAGGTGTGAACATGCCACCCTGCTGTGACTGCTCCTCATCACCCGTGCATCGTGCATCGTGCTTCAGCTCCAAACCAGCTGGTGCCAGGGAGCTCGCTTCTGGGCCCACAGAGGGCTCTGCACGCCTCGAGCTGGCAGAGCCACGGCAGGGGGACAGCGAGCACGGCTCAGCCTGTCTGCGGGAGCACACACGCTGTTTCAGAGATGAGCTCCAAGCCCTGCATCCCCGGGGATCCGGCAATGGGATCGAGCAACGGAAACCGCGCAACGGCCCCAAAAGCGCGGCTGGGCTGCAGGCGCCACCTGGCGGCCGCGCCGGGCACTGCGGGGAGCGCCCGCGGGGGAGCGGCAGCGCCGGGGACAGGACAGGGACAGGGCACAGGGACAGGGGACACGGGCAGGGATCACTGCGGACCACGGACAGGACAGGGACAGGGGACACGGACAGGGATCACTGCGGACCACGGACAGGACAAGGGACACGGACAGGGACAGGGGACAGGGACAGGGGACAGGGACAGGGGACACGGACAGGGGACACGGACAGGGGTCAGTCACTGTGGGCACATGGACAGGGCTCACAGACAGAGGACACTGTGGGTACATGGACAGCGGTCACTGTGGGCACATGGACGAGGCTCACAGACAGAGGACACTGCAGGCACATGGACAGGGCTCACAGACAGGGGTCACAGACAAGGCTCACAGACAGGACACTGTGGGCACACGGACAGGGCTCACAGACAGGACACTGTGGACACACGGACAGGGCTCGCTGCGGGCTCACAGACGCCCCCCCAGGCCCACAGCACCCCTCACTCCCCCAGCCGCAGCCCCCAGCCCCCGGCTCGGCAGCAGCGGGGCCGCACTCACCCAGGTCGGCGATGCAGCACTGCCCGTTCTTCTTGACGAGGATGTTCTTGCTCTTGAGGTCGCGGTGCGAGATGGCCGGCTTGCCCTGCGTGCCGAAGATCTCGATGTGCAGGTGCGCCAGGCCGCTGGCGATGGACAGCACGATGCGCAGGCAGCTCACCGTGTCCAGCGTGGTCAGCTGCAGGTAGTCGTACAGAGAGCCCATCTCGTGGTAGTGCGTGATCAGCCACAGCTGCGTGCTCGAGTTCCTGGAAGTCATGTCGGATGCAATAAAGCCTGCAGGAGAGGAAGGAGGAGAAACACGACAATGAACGGACAGAGCTCCTGCAAGAGTCCCGAGAAAAGCAGCTCAGCTAGGCAGAGCAGGTGCTGATAATGCCGAGGTGCTGGGTGTGACCCCACACTCCATCCACCCAGGAGCTGCACTCGATGATCCCCGCAGGTCCCTCCAGCTCTGGATATCCTGTGACAAGGTGAATCATGCTGCTGGCCCCTCTTGCAATGCACGGCGTGTTTAATTACAACTGCACTGCAGATGACTGCAGGTACTGCTGTGGTGACAGCAAAGGCTGGAACCCTAACTCACATCTATTCACAAGAAGCCTTTACATATTTGTCAGTCACATCAAAAAACTACTTGTTAGGACCACACACATTAAAAATATTATTTTTCCTTCTTTTTTAAGGGTCTGGGGGTGGGGAAGTTCCCAGTCAAGCAGAAAGACCCCAAGTCTGTAGAACATTCGCTGCTGCCACTTGAGAGGGTCACACTGGAAAGCAGAAACACCCCAAACCTCAAGCCAGGAATAACCATTTCCATTTTCAGAGTCCACAGGCAGCTAGTGCAGACTGCTGAGAAAAGGGTTAAAATGGGTGGCCCAACCTTAATGATCTCCAGGAAGAAACAGAAAATTTTCTGCTCAAGAACTGCCTTCAAAAACGTCATGTCTTAAAACTGAACCCCAAATTCAGGGGAAGCTCCCTTCCTGTCACCTCTGCATATATCCACATAGTGATCTCAACAGCTTTACCTGGGAACAAAAGTTTTATTCCCAAGTCAAAGGAACAAATCATGCTTATAAAAAGCTCACATACATTTGTCAGAAAGAACACCCACTGCCTTCTCTCCTAAAGTCAGACTTGTGCACAATGTGACATTTCTGTAATCTGTGATATTGTTTAATATTGCATCTAAAAAAAAAGTCCCTAAAATAGCCAACAAATTTGACAGTCATCAAGAAAGACTAAACACAGGCAGAGCACCAAGGAAAATATGCAATGTAACTTCAGCCAAGTCACTTGCTCTCTTGGGAAGGGAAGTTCAATAATTCACATTTCAGGAGGCCACCAAATTATTTTTGTAGTAAGAAAGGAACTGCTTCAGGAAACACACAAATGTCTGGCAGAGTGAGCTAGAGAGCCAGGGAACATTCTCTGACAGGAAGCAAGAATAAGGAGCCAAAGGAAAACTGACTGAAGACAGATTTTGGGCGAGGCAGTGTCAGCACTCAAAATGTGCTGCTGCTTTTATTTGCAGAGGGGGCACACCAGTGACAGAAGGGCACGTCTATCACGAATCAAAGGGCTGCTTAAACCTCAGACATGGCTCAACACAACAAAGCCACTTTCCCAGTTCTCAGAACCAAGCACATGAGGTATGAGTGATGCACAAGGCGCATTTACTTTCCTATTTACAGTGAAAAAGACACATCATGCAGCTATAACTGAAGTTTAAACACCAAAAGAATTTACCCTGAGCAGAACAGTTAAACAGAAGAAAATACTGGATTCATGTTGCACTTTACTTAGCCATAAGGAAAAGTATTCAAATCCCCAAATCTCATTATAAACTCCTCCCCACCTTTTCTCCCTCCATTTCTGCAGGGAAACTGAGATTACAACCCAGCACAGCTCCACCAGAGCTGACACATGGGCAGGACTCTGCCAGGAGAGCTGCAGGGCTCTGTGGCAGCTCCACTGCTTGCTGTGTGCTCAGCTGCCAACAGCTGGCCCGTCCGGCTGGCTCAGTGCTTCCTGCTGGAATCCGGCAGGGCAGCAGGTCACAGCTGCTGTGGCACCCTCCCCGTGTGGGACTCGGCCCCTCCTGCCAGTCTCTCCCTGGGAATTCCTCTCCAGCCATCTACCACAACACAAGAACCCAGAGACTGCCAGCTGCCTGCTGAGCGTGCAGTGCTACCTGTCCAGGTAACTCACCCTTACACCAGACACACCAGGACACAGAATGCGCTTGTCCCACTTACCTAAAATATTCTCGTGCCGCAGCAGCACGGTGTTGTACAGCTCGGTTTCCCTGAACCAGGACTTTTCGTCCCTAGAAGAGAAGATCTTCACAGCAACGTTTTCTCCTTGCCACTGCCCCCTCCACACTTCTCCGTAACGGCCCTTTCCTGGTGGGGAAAGCACAGGGGAAGCTGTGAGCTAACGAGCAGCCCTCAGCAGGCAGAACCCCACTGCCCTGAGCGAGTACCACGCCATGGTGTGACCTCCCCTGTGTGCCCCTGTCACCGCTGGAGCCAGCTGTGCTCCAGCGCCCCTCACTGTCCCTGCCTGCTCTGCCCCAAGCCCGGTGAGTGTGGCTCTCCCCTCCCTGCACACCCCCGCAGCACAGAGGGCTCCAACTGGGAGGCGGCACCATTCACCACCAGCAACCAAAGTGGCTTAGGCAGCACATGGCAAGGTCGGTGTGCACAACACAGAGCTCTGAGCTCTGCAGCAAGGAGGACAGGAAGGAAATGTAATGCTGGGGATACAGCCCTTACATTTCTATTCCATCATCGCCCCTTGCAAAATGAAGATTTAAAGAAAACAAAAGCCCAAACCCATGCACAAACAAAAAAAGGATTAAAAACCACCAGCCCCACCAAAATCAAGCCCCGTCCTGTGGAGATCAGGACATACTGTCTGCAAGCCAAGCTTTTTAGCCCAAGAGCTTCCTCGCCTCTTCAGTGCCTGCACAGCACCCTGGCTCAATGCCAATGCCTCCAGGTATCTTTGACCCAAATGCCTCCTAAACTCAATTAACACTACTCAATTAATAATAAAAATATGCTGAAGAAAAATGTAACGAATCCTTAAAATGAACACTAAAGCCCTACAAAAAACGAAAGAGCCAGAAGACACTGACCCACACACTCCACAAGTGTGATCTGGCGAGCCACCGTTCTTTGCACCAAGAAGGGAAGTCCAGAGCCACTTCCAGATGTGCAGGAATGGTCCAACAAATCCTGTTCAGAAGGAAAAGCAGCAGTTTAGGACCCATCTCCCTGTTTACACGCACCAAGGACAAGCTAGGTTAAAGCTCAGGGGTATCTCTGGCTCTGGGGATGCCATTTGGTCACTCAGGGTCAAAGAGCATTTGCTTAGTCAGTCATTATTTCTTTAATAAGAGTAATAAATACATGACAACAGATGTCTGTTGTGCACTGGAAGCCCACTCCTGGCATACCAGCTATCCTCTGTCATGAGATTCTGCCCTTTTTCAGCACTTCACTCTTCTTTTACTTACCTTATGTCCTCTCAGTTCTGTTTCTGACACCTACTCCAGCTTGGTGCAGGATTTAAAACCAAAACCAGTTTTCAAATAAACGAGGTGAAGGGATTTTCCAGCATCACCTACACAAGATTTGCCATTGATACTCCAGAAAAACTTCTGTAACAAATCTTTCTTAAAAGCTTTATCAGTTTCTGGTATTTTTAGTGCATAGAAAGCAGACTTTGAGCTGTAAGCTTATAATAAACATGAGTGAGATCCTGACAGAATGTTAAAATCCCATTAGCCTTGTAAAATGCTAATGCCCAGCTACTTTTACAGCCAGGAGTTTTGTATTAGTTCAAAGCATTAACAACTATTGTTAGACTCTTTCTTTACAAAGGAAAATAAGTGTAATCAACTTTCTATTATTTCCAGAAAACTGCATTGCTGCGCTTGGACCAGATATCCACGAAACCTCACTTCTTCTAAGAACCTCTTAACAAGCGCTCAATAAAAAGAATCTGGGAGTGGCAGAGACTACTTTACTTTTTAACCCAACTAAGGGCTCATTTTCCTTCCTGCTTGCATCAGAGGCAACACAAAAGCAACGACAACAAAAAGCCATCCCCAAACTTATCTACAGCAACTGTAAAAACAAGATTTGAAGAGGCCAGAGCTCCTTCCACTAAGCAGCTTAGGGCTTTAAGCACTTGCTACACTGCAGAGACTAATCCTAAATGCAAACTTATCTAATGTGTGACAAAACCAGCGACTTAAAACACAATGGAGAAGAAAAATCTGGAATCTAGGAGAGTGGCTGCTTAGATGAACGTTTGGGCACAGGAGCTACCAATTACCTTTAGTGCCTCAGCCACACTGGGAGGCAGAGCAGCAGCACTGGCTCACAGGGCCCGACAGCTCCCAGCTCCCCCCAGCTCTTTGAAACAGAACTTCGATTTTTTTCTTTGCAGGTTTTATCAGCATTTCCAAGCAACATTAAATAACTGGAAGTACAAAAAGTCTGTAAATGGCTTGAAACGACCTTGCACAGATAAGACGGAGGAGCTGGTAAAAGCTGGAAGTCGGTGCTTTAGGATCACCAGCTGCACACATGCCTGGGCCATGGTGGACACATCAGGACTGCCTGTTCCAAACCAGTGGAATATCAGGATTTGTGGGCGCATTAAACAGAGCCAGAGGCGTTGCAAAAAAAAAGGAAAAACAAATATCAACAGACACAGGGCACTCTACAGCCTTGCAGTGAAAGCACGTTATGGTGGGACAGCACCAAAATAGAAAACGTTTTCCAGCCTGTTAATGTTGGGGGCATTTTATCTCAGCAATGCAAGGAGAATAAACTCTGCATTGCTTCAGAAACACACTCCATGTGCCCGAAGCTTTACTTGCTCTGCTCAGATAAAGGGAGGGACAGCTGCTGGGACATCTGTGCTCTGGCCTCAGGGAAGGGGGAAGGGACAGTCACCTGCAGAAAGGGAACACTTCCCAGCTCATTATACTTTCCAGAGACCGCATGAGCAAGAGCATATTCTGAAAATTGAGCTTTGAGTAAGAATGACACATTTCTTAGAACTCCCACTGCTCTCCATCAGCAAATGCCACTGATATCCCAGCCATCCCAGAGTCCAGCTACCGAGGTCATGGCAGTCAGGCCTGAAGGTTTTAAACATCAAAATTATCTGTATTTTCTTTCTCACCTAGCATCACATCTTTTCCAGCCCTTCAGACTGTTGTATATCACACATGCAGCACAGTTCTTCACCTCTCCCATCACTTCAGGCCCCCCAGCAGCCAGGCTGACACTGTTTCCAGGAACAGGAACAGTACAGAGCAATCCCCCAGGTCAAAGGACCTACACTTGCCCAATCCGTCTTTGGTTAAAATTCATCAATACTACAGCTTTGGGAGCACAGGAACAGCACCGCTCACGTCCTGAGGCCAAGTGGCATCCCCAGCAGCAAAACATGCCCTCAGTGACGTGGGCACACAGGAGGAGGAGAGGGGAGCTAGGACGTGAGCAAAACTGCCACCCTGCACACAGGTGGGTCACTTACTGCCAGCGTGCTGTCCCCCACGTTGGAGGCAATGAGGCCCTCGATTGTGCCATACTCTGCATCCCTGGAATTGAGCCTCTCCATGTGGTTCTTCTGTATTCTCCGTATGATCAGCACAGCTACTGCAGAGAAAACTATCAACACCACCACAGGGGCCAGGATAACGATGATTAGTGTTTCCATGCTGTAACCTGCAGCTTCTCCTTGAAAGGTTTGCCCTTGGAAAAGAGGGGGGAAGGGAAAAAGTGTGAAAAGAGAGAAAATACAATTTTGCAGATTCCCAGAGAAAGTCTTTAAGCCCATCAGCACTGACACCAACCCAACCTCGATGCTCACCCGTGACAGAGAGGCTGTGCCACAGCCAGGTGTGAGCACACCTGCATGGAGGATGATGCACTCCCTGTGGAACAGCACAGCCCCCGCTGCACTGAGCCACTCCTCACAGGCAGTGCCTCCATCCTGACCCTAACCCCACAGGGCAGCCCCCTCGCTGCCCCAGCCACACAGAGCAGCGCACCCATGGGCATCAGGGCTGTGCCAGCAGGCCCAGGGTGGGCACCAGGGCACAAAGGCACCCCGTGCCTCCCTTCAGCCGGCACAGCACCAAGGCACACACCCCGTGCCATCCCTCTCCCAGCACAGCACCAAGGCACACACCCCGTGCCTCCCTTCAGCCGGCACAGCACCAAGGCACACACCCCGTGCCTCCCTCTCCCAGCACAGCACAAAGGCACACACCCCGTGCCTCCCTTCAGCCGGCACAGCACCAAGGCACACACCCCGTGCCTCCCTCTCCCAGCACAGCACAAAGGCACACACCCCGTGCCTCCCTTCAGCCGGCACTGGGGCCATCCCTCTCCCAGCACAGCACCAAGGCACACACCCCGTGCCTCCCTTCAGCCGGCACAGCACCAAGGCACACACCCCGTGCCTCCCTCTCCCAGCACAGCACAAGGGCACACACCCCGTGCCTCCCTCTCCCAGCACAGCACCAAGGCACACACCCCGTGCCTCCCTTCAGCCGGCACAGCACCAAGGCACACACCCCATGCCTCCCTTCAGCCGGCACAGCACAAGGGCACACACCCCGTGCCTCCCTTCAGCCGGCACTGGGGCCATCCCTCTCCCAGCACAGCACAAAGCCAGCCCCCCTGTTTCTCAGCAGGCACCCCTGCAGCACTCAGCTCTCTCTCACCTTTGGAGGAGGGCAGCTGGGCGGTGATGTTCATGTTGCACAGGTGCCCCTGGCAGCACTCCACGGCCTGGTTGGGGGACGGGGGTGTTTTGCAGGTCATCTTCCGCTGCTCATAGACCTGGAAGCAGCCCTTCTGGTAGACCTTGGCCCCGTCATTAATGCTCAGGGAAGCGAAGCAGCGCTGGCCTTGGCACCGGTCCCCGTTCCCACAGGAGATGCCTTCACACACACACTCGTAGGGCACCATCTTGAGCTTCCGTTCATCGTCTGCAAAAGGGAAGGGCCCAGGAAAAAACATCATCCTGCTCTTCACAGCTTCAGTTAGAGGTAACAAAATCATAAGACAATAAAATTTGCTTAAGGGAAGTGATGTTGTTTTCAGGTAGTGCTGAAGAACCGCTAAGTAGGAGGTAACGATTGTAATTCAGCTATTTCAGCGTGACAAAGATATGCCACAGCAGACACAGAGATCTCTCAAGTAAGTTAAAATGTAAAACTGAGAAAACTAAGTGACTCCCAGAAAGCCTTTACTCGATGGCTTCCAAAGGCTGTTTGTGAAGTGGTGAGTACACATCTCTCAGGGGCTCATGTCTCAGAACATCCAAGACATCTAGAAATGAACCATTCCTTCCTTTCCATGGCAGTGGAAATACTATTTCCTTTTTCTGAGGCAAACCTTAAACACGCTGCGTGTCACAAAAGCTTCACCTGCACACAGCTGTGTAAACCAGTTACAGAAGTCACTTTCCAAAGCCAATGGCTCACTGGAGCAATCATGGGAGAGTTACCAAGCACCACACTGGACATTCTGACCCCACACAACACGCACCTTGCCAGCTCGGAGATGGGAACGCCATCACCATCAGCACAGGGAGAATCATAACTCCATCAACCACCCTGGAGCTGCAGAAAGGAGAGACACCAGAGTTACGTATGCTTTCACTGCTGGCTAAAAGTGCAACCACCCCAAAAGCAGTGTTCAGCCTTTCATCAGTTCCTTACACGAAACACAACCCAGCGTTGACTGGACTCCTTTTTAACTGTCTTGTTTCCTAAATAATTTCCTTCACTTATAAAATCCACGCATTTACTGCAACATCTTTTTAGATTCACAGAGACATCACATGCAACTACCATGTAGGTACAGAGGTTTGTCGTAGGGAAATATGAACTCTCCAGTACCAAGCAGGCATGTAATATCAATGATACATTCTTTAAACCAGTTCCTAGAAAGCTAAATTATTGTTAAACTGAGAAGGTGGTCTGTAAAACTGTATTATCTGGGCTTGGAGGGGAAACAGAAAAGATCTCCAGCAGAACTGGAATAACTTCAGAATAACTTCTATCAACCAGCAAAACCCATTGCTGGATGGCAAGAAAAAGACTGAGATGTGTTTAAGGAAGATGCTGCTCTCTGAAGAGCAATTTCCCAGTTTAAGCTGCCTCTCCCAGGATTTTCCTTTCGAGGGCCCAAGCCCAGTTCCCTGCTGCTGAAGACAGGTAACTACACCTTGTGCAACAGTCCTGGCTGATTCCAGCATAAAGCAGAGGCACACGCTCCCTCTAAAACAGGAAATAAAGGAGTGAATTTGCCTTTGTATTTCCAATCTTTGCCATGAAACTTGGTCTTTACACGGAAATACAGACCACTCTTTATTCCACTTTCTACTGTGCAACAAGGCCTCTGAAAAGAAACTCTTCTGCAGTTTCTTAGGATTTAACACAACAGAAAGGGCAGGTGACTCAGAATGGTTTGTCTGTCCTGTGCTGGTTGATTCCTGCAGATACTCTCTGGCCTAGTCATATGGAACAAAATGCTCCTCGTGTGCAGGTATTTGGCTTCATTTTTCAGATTGAATTCTAATTGAAGCAGATGAAAATTGAAAATAAATCTGATATTGCCATTTTCCTTCAGATCTCTTCTGTTGTACCTTTTCAAATCATCAGCACTTCTTAAGTGCTCAGTGATGAAAGCCAAGCCATTACTTCTGTATTTATTTCCAGTAATTGATTCGTCATCAGTTAAAATGATCAGAGATTTCTAACCCAAGTACTCAGTGTTCACCTTCACAGAAAGGCCCAGGCAGGGCTGACCACCTCACCTCCCAGAATGACACTCTCCCTTCCAAAGACCCATTCCCCAAGGAAGCTTTTCCCCTTGTCCTGGATGCACCAAGGCACCTGTAAGCCCTGCTGATACCTGACCCACCACAGTCGTGCTGGGAACACAGTCAGAGAGTTAAACAGCAGGAGCAATCCAGGGAGGCAGTTTGAAGCAGAGCAGAGCTATCCCAGGGAGCCATCAGTGTCCCAGATCAGCTCCAGGGGCCGGTGCCCTGCTCCCAAGGCAGTTTGAAGCAGAGCAGAGCTATCCCAGGGAGCCATCAGTGTCCCAGATCAGCTCCAGGGGCCGGTGCCCTGCTCCCAAGGCAGGCTGGTGCTGGGATCCCTGCTCTGCCCTGGGCACAACAGCCTGGAGCAGCCCTGGCCCCGCGCCTGCCCACTCTGCAGGGGCAGACAGGGGTGGCTCTGGCACCTGCCCTCCTCCTTGGCACACAGGGCACTTCAAAGAGCCAAAGCCACCCCAGGGGCTGCACGGACACGGATGGGAGCGGGGGAGCGCTCCAGGGCATCCCAGCAGGGACAGGGCCCTCTGGAGAGCCCTTCACACAGCAGGGACACCCAGCTCAAGGAAAAGGTGCTTCAAAGATACAAAATGTGAGCTCAGCACTGCTGGGCAGCCTCAGAGCTTAGCCAGCAGCACTGGCAGCTCTTCCAGGTCACTCAGGGCTGCAGCCCCTGGCCCAGGTAAAACCAGCATGGGTTGTTTTGCACTGGTGGGAGCTGACACACCTGGGGCAGCCCCCAGACCCCCACACCTCGACCCCCTCTCCAGGGCATCCTCCCACGGCCGTTCCAGCCCCTCTCCTGCCAGAGCTGCTGAGGGAGAGCAGCAGGGCCCTGCAGGAGCCCAGCTCTGCTCCCCAGGGAAGGAGCTGAGCACACGGACCGGGAGCTGGCCACAGGGTGGGACTGAAGCCATGGGAAGCACACACCAGCCCAAACACCAGGAAAACTCAGCCAGCTGCATGGACCTACCTGGTGTCTTTTCAGCCAGTTTATTTCAGTTACCAAAAACAAAGAAACAAATATACACAAGTATATCTGTACACATAAGCCCCTGCCCTGTATGTCTCAGAGGGAGGATGAGGATGGCAATCAGACCCAGGCCCCCAAAGAGGCAAACAAACCACACTGGACTTTTAACAGATTTTATGCATTTCACACCATGCATGGTCCTCCCAAGGAAAAAAGCCCAATATTTCCATTTAAACGCTACTTGTATGAAGCCATTCTTCCAGCTGTTCATTGTCCCCAAATCCTCAAGGAACACCTCCTCTGCCTTTGCTGAGAAGAGCTGTGCACCTGTGCAGCAGCTGTAACACACCCAGCCCGTGTCCCCACACCACATCTGGGCAGCCCCGGACACGCCGGGATTTTGGCTCACAGCCCTCGGCACGGCCCAGCCACACCGGGTCAGCTGTGCTGGGACACTGGAGCAGGGAAGGAGCTGGGAGACAGGCTCTCACCTTTACAAAACACTCATTTCCCCTCAAAAATTATTTGAGGGCATGAGTTCAAAGGTGCTGTTCTCACTGCTTAAAAAAAATTACTTTTTCAAAGAAATTAAGGGATGTACATAAGCACCTAAGTCTGGTTCTAGTGACACCAGCAAGCACACCCCTTCCAGTTACTGCTTGTTTAGAGAGAAAGAAAATATATATTTTAATGTAAGGAACAAAACATTATTTAATAAAACCCCACAGAAAATTGCTGTGGATTTAAAGATCCATGAGATATCCAGTTACGATCTGGTACCTGAATTCACAAGAACTTTTTTCCTAAGGGAAGAGTTGGGATTTAACCCAGATAAATCAAGAGGAATTAACAAGCAACCAGCAAAAATACACAAAAGGGGTTTTCCTTTTGCCATTTGATTTGAGCTGCAAGCCGTGCCCTATGGAATCGCAGCACGGCAGCAAGAGCCACTAGAGGGCATCGGGAACATGGGCAGGGATCCCAATGCAGGGATCCAGCCATCCCAGGTACGGGATGCGGGGATACAGCCATCCCATGGCTCGGGATGCGGGGATACAGCCATCCCAGGGCTCGGGATGCGGGGATACAGCCATCCCAGGTATGGGATGCGGGGATCCAGCCATCCCAGGGCTCGGGATGCGGGGACACAGCCATCAGATGTTTGGTAAAGACACCCAACATAACACACAACTGGTTCAGGTAACAGAGTCTATAGAATCCTTATGCTCTGTAGTCATGAAGTCCCAACACTGCAAAATCCACCCTGAAACCCCAGTGCTTGTTCCACTTTCACAGCTAATATTGCTCTCTCCTTTCCTCCTAAGAAAACTGTGTCCTGCCAAATCATTCCTGCATGGCCTTACAGCAGTGTGGGCCCAAGTCCTGTGCTGGGGCTGTCGGGACAGCAGCTGCAAGGAGCCAGAGGGCAGAGAAGAGCCAGGCCAGACAACCTGAAACCCCACAAGGAGCCCGCAGGCGCTGGCTGCTGGGAAGCGGCCTGCAGTCCCCGGAGCCAGCACTGAGCACAGACCACAGCAGACACCGAGCCATTAGCGCAGGAACTCCAGGCTGCATTTCATCTCCATATGACACAGACATGGGAACATGAACATGAGAGCACTCAGACTTTCCAGATGAGATCAGAAGCACCCAGATATCGCTGACAGACCCAGTGGCCCCCAGCCAAGAGCCCAAGGGCTGTACATATTTTGCATGCACCTCACCAGATTCCTATCAAAAGAAAACATCCATAATACTGGATCGCACTTGTGCCATCCACAACAGCCACACACGAGCTGAATTCATCCACAGCTGTGTCTTCAGAAGGAGAAATGTGCATTTAAAGGCAATAATTCACAGCTTGCTCCTTAATTGAATCTCACACAAAGGAGGTGCAGCCCCCAAGCAGCCCCACAAAGGCATTCCTTGCGTCAGAGAGCGACAACCTTGGGCAGCCCTTTCTTATGGTCTAAACCTGGTTGCCAGAATTCAGAAGATGGAAACCAGCCACCAACTCCATTTGGTACCCACCTGCAAATGCACAAGGCACACATCCATGCTTTGCAGCTCCAAAAATGTGTCAAAGTGCCACGCAGGAAGACCAAATGCCTCAGATTAGAGTGACCACAATACAGGAAGAGTGAAGGATGGGATACTGGTTCTTCTGTACTCGTGTACAAAGTAAAATCGCAGCACTGCTGAGTAAGAATGAAAACACTACACGAAAGGCAACTACACAGTGTGAAGTGTCCTGGAAGTTTCTCCCAGTCAGTAACTCTGACACATGCACGAAGAGCCAATCCCTTGGCTCTTGTAATAAAAAGAAAAGGCAGCAAAGCATGAGTGTCATATAGAAATAAAAACAGCCTGCTCCCAGGGAGCAGGGACAGGACAAGAGAAAACAGCATCAAGCCGTACCAGCGGAGGTTCAGGTTGCATAATGGGGAAAATTCCTTCACAGAAAGGGTTGTCCAGCCTTGGCACAGGCTGCCTGGCACTGTCCAGGGCAGTGGTGGAGTCCCCATCTCTGGAGGGATTTAGAATTTGTGCAGATGTGGCACATTGGGTTGGCGGTGGCCTTGGCACTGCTGGAAGAATGATTTGACTTCATGATCGCAGAGGGCTTTTCCAACACAAACCATGCAGAGACTCCATGTGGGCAGCAGAACCTCCCAGTGGCTGCAGGAGGCAGAAGGCACTTGCCCCAGTGTAAAAGCTCAGGCTGTGTGCAGGTATTGCATCAGTACAGGGGTCTTGGGCAACCCACTGACACACGGCTTACTCAAACAACGAAGCAAGCACAG